AATTAAACTCTTTCCATTGGAATCGACAGGTTATTGACGAGAGGATTAAACTTATTAACATGCCACTGTATTAGTGTACAAGGTTACTATTAACGTTGTACTCTTGTTTATATTGAAGAATGAAGAAGCTCGGAACTGAAGACAAAGTCAAGCAAGCACAAAGTTATATATGGCAACCATAACAACTCGGATTACATCAGAAAGAAATGAGACGAGTACGACCCAAGAAAACGGTTCCATCAATGAAAGAAACATTAGATGATAGAATCATTATTTGGGATCTAACTCCATTGTTTGGACAGGTGGGGCAGTAACAACAGCCAGGTTATTGGAATCTCCAGCCCTTTCACGAATCTCTCTGTACTCCTGGCAAATGGCACATGGATGGCAGAAAAAATGGGTTGCAAAATCCCCACACGGCGCTTCCTACATCAGTAATATGGTTAGTAAAAATACCAAGTTCCACAAGGACAACTAAAACAAGTGTCTATATATAAAGTAAGAAAACCAGGAATTTTAGGAATCTAATCTAGACATTGCAGTAGAAGCGTTTTAGTTTTAGATATTCTCATTAAGTAGCTTCACATATCGACAGAAGTATATAATTATTCTCAACAAAATTTTACTTGCACAATATTTTCATTCAACATCTTGTCACTAATGGTTGAGTTCATCTAAACCTGACAGTACATTTTTTATGCTCCGAAAACATCTCATATTCACAACTCAGAATGCTAATTACTGGATAACTATAATGACAGTCATCTTCCACAAAAGTTAGCTTAAAGAAGGATGTTAAGGCATGTCAAATGGTTTACACAAGGCAATAAGAGCTACAAGAATCAATAACACCACTTCAATACGTCAGACAAAGGAAGTATATCCATTAGTCAAAACTTCACCAAAGTTGCTCACACCTCTTGTTCAAAGTAAAACCAAAGTCAGTAAGTGTTAACCTATTAACAACCTTTGGATGGATTCTGAGTTCTGCTATCAATATGATAAAGACACCGACTCAGAACCTTGTATTCTTGTATCCATTCTTAACTGCATACTAAAACAGACTATGAATAAATTCAGTTTTGTAATCGGTGTGGGTAAAAAATGTTATTCAGGATATCAATCCCAATGATTTTGGAAGCCAAAAATTGATTATCACAAAACCTCTTACATATTTAAAAGCCATACCTGCAAATTATACTTTGCGCGTAGTGCCTTGCGGTAGCCACAAGCATAACATGCAACAAAGCATCCGGGTAATCCCAACAAAAAACCTTCAGTCAATATACAGCATAGAGAATTGATAAAGCCCCAAAGAATAAAATGGGTAATGCACGATCCCATTAAAGTGCCTGACCCCAGGAACTCTGCATTCTTCCCAAACAAAAAGCAAGGGCAGAAGAGACCTATACAACCTGTTCATAGATGATAATGAGCCATGATCAATCACTGGCAACCAAAGATTCACCATATGGAAAGAACTAGAGATAATTTTAAATGAATTCTGCATATAGAAAGTATGCAGATCATTCAACTAGGATATTGCATTCACTAAGCAAATATCGAAATCTTAAATGATAGTGCCAGACACTCTGCCATTCATCATAACATAGAATGATATATTTATTAAAACCAAAAAGGCACCTTCAGATATCTAAATGGTGAGGGAAAAGAAGGTCTGGGGGTAGAAAGAAGCATACAGCTCTGCATATCGTCGCAGCAAGCACAGATTCCAGAAGACCACTGGGACTGCACAGCTCCATCTTGAGGTGAAGCGGGATGAGCGGGGAGAGGAAGCTCTGAGTCAGATTGTCCCAAAGGTATGTAAGGTGGAGGCACATAACTGCTTTGGCTCTTCATTTCTGGCCTTAGATTTTCGAAAGATCTCTGATTTCAGTTCTAGGGTTTGATTTGATTCAGCTGTTTCAATCTGAGATGGGAAAGAGGAATCATGACCTAAGAACAGAATAGCAACAGCGAAACTGCAGGACAGAGTTGTGGTATGTTTACCTGGATATGGAGAAGAGTACGGTAAGAGTGAGAACACTGTGTTCGTCCGGAGGAGAGCAGCTAATAACGGCGGTGACGCACCGTGAACGGCGAGCACCAAGGGTGTTTTGTTGGGGGAAGCCGGCGTTGGAGGTAATGCGTTCGTTTTCCATAAAAATTATGCTTTTCGATTCTTAGGCCCTCAAACTTCCATGAGAAAGGCAGTCAAGTCCTCAACCCACTTTTGAGGCTTAAAAATCACCCCCCTCCTCTTTTTTTTTTTTCGCCTCTTTTTTGGTGTATAGTGAGGGAAAGCCAAGAAGGAAAGCTTTTTTTTGTTTGGTAGAACAAGAAGGGAAGCAATTAAGTATCGTGAATAACACAGGGAAGGAGCTACCAATTGCATGAATTGGAACAATTCATTCGGGGGTGTCTATAAATTTCCGTGCCATATTCTAGCATAATGAAAAAGTTCCATACTTCAATTGTCATCTCTTTTGTTTTTGGTTGAAGGGAGGCTAGGTGGATGGGGGAGAGAAGTTGAACCCCCTTTTAGCCGATCGGTTGGTAATTTTGTTTCTATGTGTGTTTGTTTATTGGCTTAAAATATCATTTGTTTATAAAATTTGTCAAGGATTATTCATAAATTTATTCATAAATTTATTCATAAATCTATTCGCATTTGTTTATCCACAAACCCATTCATTCTTGTCCATATGTATCTATCCACATTCATTATCTGTCCATGTCCACATTCATTTGTTTATTGCTCTACAAATTTGTCTATCTTAAATCAACCTACAAATCTATATGTCTATCTATAACCATCCATAATTTGTTTATATCTATTTATCAATCTACCTCCATATCTACTATTTGTTCATCAATCTATTTATCCATAAATTCATCCGTCGACCTACTTATAATTGTTTATTCACCATTTGTCTATGTCCACAAATCTATTTGTCAATCCACAATTGCCTATAAATTCATTTACAAATCTATCTATTTGTCCACAATTCTTTATAAATTCTTCACAAATCTATCCATTCACAATTATCCATCTGCCAATCATCATCCATTAATATCCACAAATCTGTCCATTTATAGAACTATCCCTCATTTGTCCACAAATTCATCAATGTCTATTCATCTATAAATTTGTCCATGATGTCTATAAATTCTTTCACAAATCCATTCATAACTATTTATCCATAAATCCATTTATTTGTCTGTCTGCCTATTCATAAATTCATCCCATATGTCCACTATACATCATTCACTATCCATCCATATCCACAAATTTGTATGTCCAACCACAACTTTTTATAAATTCATTCACAAATCTATCTATTCATTTTCACAAATCTTTCCATCCATATAACTACTTTCGTCTATTCCTAAATTCATCTAAAAATTCATTCATATTTGTTCATTTATAAATTTTTCCACAATTCTGTTTGTCTGTTCAAAATGTCCATCATATCTATAAATCCTTTCACAAATTCATCCATACTTACCCGTTCAATGATCCATTCGATCGTTTGTACATCTATAAATTTATCACGTCTATCTACTATACAACATCCACTAATTGTCCATATTCACAAATTTATTTCTTCGTCCACATCTACAAATCTGTCTATCTATCTATAATTCCTTATAAATTCACCCATAAATTCATCTATCTATCCACAATCATCTGTAAATTTGTCCGAAATTTGTCCATCCAATTGTCTATCTACTATTCATCATCTATCAATGTCCACAAATCTATCCATCCATACAATCGCCCCCACTTTATCCACCAATTTGTTTACAAATCCATTCATAAATCCTTAAACAACTAGTCATATTTGTTCATTTATAAATTCGTCCACAAATCCATTTATCTATCCACAATAATAATAAATCTTTTTATAAATTTATCTGCATCTAGTCATCCATAGATCTATTCATCCATTTGTTCATTAGTAAATTCATCCAAAAATTCATGTATTCATCTACCATTCATCATTTGTCAATGTCCACGAATCCGTTTGCCAATCCAATTGTTCATAAATTCATCTACAAATTCATTAATTTATATACAATTGTCTATAAATACATCCACAAATCCATTCATCCATTTAATATTCCATGGTGTGACTGAAGTAATGAATGGATTTGTAAATGTTTGTGGCTAGATGGATAAACAGATTTGTGAACAAATTTACGGATGAATGAATTTATGAATAGATGAATGTACAAACAAATTTTTGGATATTGGCAGATGAACGGTTTTTGGATGGATACTAGACAAATTTATTTGAGAACAAATTTATAGATGCACAAATAGATAATTTATGAAACGGATTTACTCATTTCTTAATTTTAATTATCTTTAGAACTTCTAGTTGATTCACTTTTCGAACTTCCAGTTAAGCTAGGAGTGGTTCTTACTCAATCTTTTAATTTAATTGAGATTTCATGTTCCATAAAACAAAAAAAAAAAAATTTTGAAATTTCATGTAAACTACATTGACATTCATGTGTACTACTTAAAACTTAAAAGTATTATTTTTATTAACATATTTTATTAATAAAATTTTTTTAATGGTATATTACAATTCGAACTATACAATACTTCTTTTATTACCATAATTGTTAAGTTCTCTTTGTATTTTGATGATGATTTAAAACCATGATTCAAAAGAGTTTAATCTATTTTTGTGCTAAGTGTGCAGGAAAATTAATCCAAGGTTTCTAATCTTTCCCCACGATTAGAATTAATTCATGTTCTCCTTGTTTAGAGTTTTGGGTTCGAACCAATTTATTTTGGTTCGAATCAATCTCGAACTTTTGTTTTCCAAAAATGGTTCGAACCTTTATTTCTAGCTTCGAAGCAAAAATTCTGGAAGGGTAAATTTTGACAGCTCAACTATCCGTTTATTTTTATTTTGGGCCTTGGGGGAACCAATTTTCTGAGCTTTTCCAAAGTCAAGTCAAAAATAGTAAAATAGGTGAAATCTCATTGGAGCATTTGTGAGGTGGCTTTGAAGGCCTAAATGGACTTTAATTGCAAGGCTCCAAAATCCCCTATTATAATGATCAAAAATTCAGATCTGGAAAATATACAGAAGAAGGACGAACTGCTACAGAAACTAAGTTTGAAATTGTTATGGTTTTCCTTCTTCTTTTCTTGTGAGCTTTTGGGTTAATTGTCTTACAAGGGTTTTGTATTCTTCTTAGATTGGGATAATCCTTGAAGGAGTTGAGTGAGTTAAGATTCACTTGTCAGGGTTTAATCTTGCACCCGCAAGCAAGAGGTTGTTCCGGTTTAATCTTGCACCCGTAAGCAAGAGATTTCTAGTGGATTGAACTCTCAAGCAAGGAGGCTTGGGGAGTGGACGTACTCCGGGTTGGAGAAACCACTATAAATCACGGCTTGATTTTCTCTTCCCTCTCTTTTATTTTTCTGCATTATATTACTTTTGCACAACAGCTTATAAATTGCAAATTTGATTTAAGTCTTGAAAGAAAAAGAAACAAGAATTTAAGTTTAAATTGCTAAGACCCAATTCACCCCCCCTCTTGGGTAGCTAGCTTGGATTACAATTGGTATCAGAGCGGGTTCTCTTAGAAACAGATTTAACAATCTAGAGTAGATCCATGGCTTCCCAAACTCATTTTGTTGAAGGTCATTCAATCACTAGGCCACCTTATTTTGATGGAACAAATTACCAATACTGGAAAAATAGGATGCAGATTTGGTTAGAAGCAAATAGCTATGAGATGTGGGATTGCATTGCTAGAGGACCTTATAAAGTATTAGCTAGAGACCAGAATAACAAACTTGTTCCTAAGGATCCTGCATCATATGATGAAGCTAATAGAAAAAAATTGCAGATAAATGCTCAAGCTAAAAATGCATTGTTCTGTGCTTTACATCCTAGTGAATATGATATAATTAGTGCATGTGATTCTGCTAAGGAAATGTGGGATAAATTACAAGTGGCTCATGAAGGAACTAATGAAGTCAAGAAATCAAAAATTAACATGTTGGTTAAAAAATATGAGCTGTTCAAAATGAAATCAGATGAAGAAATTAAAGACATGTTTACTCATTTTACCAAAATCACTAATGAATTAAAGCTTTTTGATAGAGTGCTTCCTGAGGAGGATAAGGTCAAAAAGATTCTCCATTCCTTGACAAAATCCTGGAGCTCAATCAAGACAACAATAGAAGAAGCTCATGATCTAAGTGCCATGACTGTTGAGATGCTGCAAGGGAAGCTCCTTACACATGAAATGGCCATGAAAAATTATGAAAGTGATGATGATTCTCGGAAGAAGAAATCTGTAGCTTTCAAAAGCTCTTCCAAAGATGAAAGTGACAGTGATGAAGAGGATGATGAAGAATTTGTATTGCTTGCTCGAAAATTCAAGAGATTCCTAAGGAAAGACAGGCTGAAGAATCAAGGACAGCAAAAGAAAAACTACAAAAGCAGTAAAGGAAAGGGAGAAAGTAGTAAAAAGGATGAGATTATCTGCTACAAATGCAAGAAGGCTAGACATATTAAATCTAAGTGTCCAAACAATGATGAAAAAAGTCTAAAAGCCAAAAAGAAGAAGAAGGCAATGGTTGCCACATGGAGCTGCAGTGAGGACTCATCTTCTAGTAAAGAAGAAAGTGACATGGAAGCTCATTTTTGTCTCATGGCAAATGATGACACAGATGAGATAAATTCCATTTCTACTTCTATTTTTGATCATGCAAGTGATGATGAAATGTCATATGAAGATTTGCAAGATGCATTTAATGAATTATATGAACATTATAAACAAATTAGTGCAAAAAATGCATTTTTAAAAAGAGAAATTCTGTCACTTAGAAAAGAAAACAATGGTTTGAGAAAATCTTTAAATGAGGAAATGATAATTAGTCAAAATATGGAAACTGACTTGAAAGAGTCAACAATTGCATTTGGAAATTACAAACAAAAGTTGATTGAAGAGCATGGTAAGCTGGTATATGAACTAAAAAGGAAAATAAGCCACCTTGAAAGTTCTCTGGACAGTTTTGTGAAAGGCAAAGGTAAGGTTGATAACAATTCAAGTTCTCAAAGAGTTCCTCATAACAAAGCTAGAATCTTTTTTGAATTATGTAAGCCTCCCTCATCTAAATCTACTGTTTCTATGGAATGTAATACTTTGCATTCTTATGACATAGTAGAAGCATCAAGTTCTAGAGATAATCATGTTCATCATTCATATAATCATGATATCATTTGTCATTATTGCTTAAAAAGGGGTCACTATATCCATCAATGCTACACTAGGAAGAATATCTTTAAGATGAATTTGAAGTGGGTTGCGAAGAAAATTTCTACTTGTTTGACTAACTCAAGTAGACCCAAGAAAGTTTGGGTACCAAAATCAAGTGTTTAAACTGTGTTTTCAGGGAAGCTTCAAAGAGAAATTGAAGAAAGAAAAATGGTATCTGGACAGTGGGTGCTCTAGACATATGACTGGAGACAAGTCACAATTCTTGAACCTTAAGGCAATGGAAGGAGGAACGGTGACATTTGGTGACAATGCAAAAGGCCACATCAAAGGTATTGGCAAAGTAGGTAAAAATTCTGGTTTAATTATAGAAAATGTTTATTATGTAAAAGGTCTCAAGCATAATTTGATTAGCATAAGTCAACTATGTGACAAGGGGCACAAAATTATTTTTGAGTCAAATGCATGCAAAGTGTTAAACATTCATGATGATGAAGTTCTGTTTGTTGGTAAAAGGAAGGGAAATGTTTACATTGTTGATTTTGATGATTTATCTTCATATAATGTAAAATGCTTAATGGCTAAAAATGAAAGTGAGAGTTGGCTATGGCATAGAAGGTTAGGACATGCATCCATGCATTTGATTTCTAAATTATCTAAGAAAGATCTAGTTTTAGGCTTGCCTAAACTAGTTTTTGAGAAAGATAAAATCTGTGATGCTTGTCAACAAGGTAAACAAACAAAAATTTCCTTTAAGTCAAAGAAGGATGTAACTACATCAAGGCCACTAGAACTTTTGCACTTGGACTTGTTTGGTCCTATTGATGTCACTAGTTTGGGCGATAAAAAGTATACTTTAGTAATTGTAGATGATTATTCTAAGTATACTTGGACTAGATTTTTGGCTCATAAGAAAGATACATTTAGTGAATTTACTAAATTTTGTAAAAAGGTGCAAAATGAAAAGGGATTCACTATTACATGCATTAGAAGTGATCATGGAGGTGAGTTTGAGAATGATAAAATGAAAGAATTTTGTAACTCAAATGGAATTGAGCATAACTTTTCTTCTCCAAGAACTCCACAACAAAATGGAGTTGTTGAAAGGAAAAATAGAACCTTACAAGAAATGGGCAGAACAATGCTATGTGAAAATCAATTACCAAAATATTTTTGGGTAAAGGCTATTAACATAGCATGTTATATTTTGAATAGAGTTCTAATTAGGTCAAACTTGAATAAGACGTCATATGAATTGTGGAAGAATAAGAAACCAAACATTTCTCATTTTCGTGCATTTGGTTGTAAATGCTTTGTGCATAACAATGGCAAAGAAAATCTAGGAAAATTTGATGCTAAAAGTGATGAGGCCGTTTTTCTTGGGTACTCAATAACAAGTAGAGCATCTAGAATTTATAACAAAAGAACTTTAGTTGTAGAAGAGTCCATGCATGTTACTTTTGCTAAAAATAAGGTTTCCCCGAGAAAGGTTGTTTTGGATGATGATGCAGGTGAAATTCAAACAAGGTTTGGAGAGCTACATCTTGAAGAAAGTTCTGGAAAAGAAGAAGGCTCACAAAAACAGAATGATATTCCTTGCCAAGACTTTTCAAAGACATGGAAATTCAAGAAAGATCATCCTAAAGAACAGATCATTGGTGACAGAGAAAATGGGGTAACAACAAGATCTCACTTTGATTTTGTCAATAATTTTGCATTTATTTCTCATATAGAACCTAAGAATGTCAATGATGCATTAGAGGATGAAAATTGGTTCTTAGCAATGCAAGAGGAGTTAAATCAGTTTCAAAGAAGTAAAGTATGGAATCTTGTACCTTGTCCTAGTGATCACCCTATCATAGGTACTAAATGGGTTTTTAGAAATAAGTTAGATGAACATGGTCATGTTGTTAGAAATAAAGCAAGACTTGTTGCTAAGGGATATAGTCAAGAGGAAGGTATAGACTATGATGAAACATACGCACCAGTTGCTCGATTAGAATCTATACATATGCTATGTGCATTTGCATGCCATATGAACATGAAACTTTTTCAAATGGATGTTAAAAGTGCATTTTTAAATGGATTCATTAAGGAAGAAGTTTATGTTGAGCAACCCCCTGGTTTTGAGGACCCCTATTTCCCAGATCATGTATTCAAATTATCTAAGGCTTTGTATGGGTTAAAACAAGCTCCTAGAGCTTGGTATGAAAGACTAAGTGGGTTCCTAATTGAAAAAGGTTTTTCTAGAGGAAGAGTTGACACCACTCTATTTATAAAGCATCATGAAAAGGATTTCTTAATTGTTCAAATCTAAGTAGATGACATAATATTTGGTGCTACTAATGAACTTCTTTGTGAGAAGTTTTCTAAGCTTATGCAAGGACAGTTTGAGATGAGTATGATGGGAGAATTAAATTTCTTCCTTGGTCTGCAAATCAAGCAGAGTAATGAAGGGATTTTCATTAACCAAACCATGTATACCAAAGAGTTGCTGAAAAAGTTTGGGATGGAAAAGGCTAAGCCTCAACCCACACCAATGAGCTCAACCCTCAAACTGGACAAAGACGAGCAAGGTAAGCCTTTTGATCAGAAACTTTTTAGAAGCATAATAGGTTCATTATTATATTTGACAGCTAGCAGACCTGATATTATGTTCAGTGTGTGCTTGTGTGCTCGTTTTCAATCTTGTCCTAAGGAATCTCATTTTACTGCATTAAAAAGAATCTTTAGATATCTTATAGGAACACAAAACTTAGGTCTTTGGTATCCCAAAGGAATGAATTTTGATTTAATTGGTTTCTCAGATGCTGACTTTGCTGGTAGTAAGATTGATAGGAAAAGCACTAATGGAACTTATCAAATTTTAGGAGGTGCCTTGGTTTCTTGGTACTCAAAGAAACAAAATTCAGTTGCCTTGTCAACAACTGAGGCCGAGTATATTGCAGCTGGTAGTTGTGCAACTCAACTTTTGTGGATGAAACAACAATTAGAAGATTTTGGATGCAAACTTGAAAGTATTCCAATTAGATGTGATAACACTAGTACAATCAATCTAACCAGAAATCCAATTCAACATTCAAGAACAAAACATATTGAAATTAAATATCATTTCATTAGAGAACATGTGAACAATGGTGACTTAACACTTGAATTTGTTAAAACTGAAAACCAGTTGGCTGACATTTTTACCAAACCTTTAAATGAAGAACAATTTTGTTTAATAAGACATGGCATAGGGATGTATGATCCAACTTGCTGAACTTTAATTATTAAAGTCCAGTTTTATTAGCCTTAAACCTAAAAAAAATAAATAAATAAGAGGTTCGAAGAGGGTGCGTTTTTTATTTGAACCTATTCTCATGGGTTCGAAGCAAACAGCAAATAATGGTTATAATTATTGTATCAAAAAAATTAATTATTAACAATAATTTAAAGATGGGGATGGGCCTACTTTTCTTAACCCAAACACTCTTAATCTTTCCTCCAAATTCTCCTCCTCTGTCATCCGAGCAACCCTAGATCTCAAAATCTTTCCTCCAATAACTCCTCTGTCATCCGAGCAACCCTAGATCTCAATTTTTTTCAGTTCTCCATCTCTTCCTTAAATCATGCCGAGGAGGAAGACCTTAGTTCGCAAGAGCAGTAAGAAAGGGACCAGATCAGAGTCAATTCCTTCCTTCTCTCCTCATCAGGTGTCTCCAGACTCTCCAGAGCTTTTTGAGGAAGTTTCGATGGAAACTATTAAAGGTATCTATCTCAGGGACCCAAAATTTGTTGAAGCTTTTACCAAAATTTATGCCAAGAAGAAAATTTTATCTGGACACTGTATTTCTAATGTCATTCTGAATGATCAAAGCCTTAGGATTAAGAGATGGTTAGAGGGTATGGGTTGGTTAGAATTTGCTACCCTAAATTGCAGATCTTATCCTAGGTTAGTTAGGGAGTTCTAAACGAACTATAGATATTCTGATACATCTGATTCTACCTCTTATGTTCGAGGGAAACAAGTGGTTTTTGATGCTGCTCATATCAATGATGAAATCAGCATGAGTTTTGACAAGTCCAAAATGCCTGCAACTAAGGAAATTGTGTTTGGAAACTCTGTCAGTCCTATTGAAAAAATTCATCCTACTGAAAAAATTCATCTACTTTAGCTACCCAAGAGACCCAAGAGGGGGGGTGAATTGGGTCTTATCAATTTACACTTAAAAACTTGTTTCTTTTTAGTGCAGTTTCAGTAGATTTCTTCAGATTGTTCCTTGGAAAGATCAATTCCCCATTTTTCAAAGAAGTTGGTAAGAAGGTGACCATAAGGCAAATATTCTTCACTGGAATTCATTGCCTTTCTCTCATGTGGCTAATAATTATTGCCCCTAAGTTAACTTTATTGCCTTTCATAATTAGTCCCATGACATAGAGATTTTCTTTTGTAAAACGACCATGTGAACCTTGTCAAGGACAGAGAATTTTTGTCACAAACCACAACAATAGCCTGGTGTCAGCACTAAAGTGATGAAGATGAATTTTTTCAGTAGGACTAACGGAGTTTCCAAACACAATTTTCCTAGTTGCAGGCATTTTGGACTTGTCAAAACTCATGCTGATTTCATCATGTGGAAGATTAAATAATTTATTGATATGAGCAACATTAAAAACCACTTGTTTCCCTCAGACATAAGAGGTAGAATCAGATGTATCAGAATATCTATAGTTCGTGTAGAACTCCTTAACTAACCTAGGATAATATTTGCAATTTAGGGTAGCAAATTTTAACCAACCCATACCCTCTAACCATCTCTTAATCCTAAGGCTTTGATCATTTAGAATGAAATTTGAAAAGAAAGACGGTTCTTGCGTAAGGATTAGTGATTCACCAGAAGTTGAAGGTTCACTGGGTACAGTCTTAGCCAACATTGATCTCTTGAGTATCCAAATTGAAGCTGAACTCAGCTCTAAATTTGCTACCTTTGAAGCTACAATGAATAATCATTTTTCCATGCTTGAATCCTCCCTGAACAACAAGCTGAATCAACTGGAAAAATCTGTGGCAACATTGACTAAATCCAACAAGAGGAAATGTTCATCGTAGTCACCTAGATGCAATGCTTTGTGCTTATTTTGGTTTATTATGTTTATCATAATTTCAGTATTTTGTACTCTTACAATTTCTAACTTTTGTGTACTGCTTATTTGTGTTTTTGAACCCTATGCTATGCTTTGTGCTAATGTGCAAATTTTTTTTGCTAATGATAAAAAGGGGGAGAGGAACTTAAAAATGAAAATTATCTTTATTTCTTGTTTGTGCAAATCCTGTTGAATCTTGGAAGAATATTTTGAGGGGGAGCTTACACTTATTATCTTTATTATTTTAAGGCATGGTTTTGTCGTCATAAAAAAAGGGGGAGATTGTTAGGTTCTCTTTGTATTTTGATGATTTAAAACCATGATTTAAAAGAGTTTAATTTATTTTTGTGCTAAGTGTGCAGGAAAATTAATCCAAGGTTTCTAATCTTTCCCCACGATTAGAATTAATTCATGTTCTCCTTGTTCAGAGTTCTGAGTTCGAACTAATTTATTTTGGTTCGAATCAATCTCGAATTTTTGTTTTCCGAAAATGGTTCGAACCTTTATTTCTGGCTTCGAAGCAAAAATTCTGTAAGGTAAATTTTGACAGCTCAACTATTCGTTTATTTTTATTTTGGGCTTTGGGGAACCAATTGTCTGAGCTTTTCCAAAGTCAAGTCAAAAATAGTAAAATAGGTGAAATCTCATTCGAGCATTTGTGAGGTGGCTTTGAAGGACTAAATGGACTTTAATTGCAAGGCTCCAAAATCTCCTATTATAATGATCAAAAATTAAGATCTGGAAAATATACAGAAGAAGAACGAAGTGCTACAGAAACTGAGTTTGAAATTGTTTTGGTTTTCCTTCTTCTTTTCTTGTGAGCTTTTGGGTTAATTGTCTTACAAGGGTTTTGTATTCTTCTTAGATTGAGATAATCCTCGAAGAGGTTGAATGAATTGAAATTCACTTGTGAGGGTTTAATCTTGTACCTGCAAGCAAAAGGTTGTTCTGGTTTAATCTTGCACCCATAAACAAGAGATTTCCAGTGAATTGAACTCTCGAGCAAAGAGGCTTAAGAGTGGATGTACTTCGGGTCGAAGGAACTACTATAAATTACGGCTTGATTTTCTCTTTTCTCTCTTTTATTTTTCTGCACTAGATTACTTTTGCACAACAACGTATAAATTGCAAATTTGATTTAAGTCTTGAAAGAAAAAAAAAAAAACAAGAATTTAAGTTTAAATTGATAAGACCCAATTCACCCCCCTTCTTGGGTAGCTAGCTTGGATTACAATAATCACTGAATTTAAAACAAGAATCATATCTTAACAAATAAATGGAATTAATAATTTAAATAATATAAAGAAAATGTTAGCATGCAAAAGTCACAACTGTATCGTTGGCCATCGATACTGTATATACATAATGAAATTCAACTATTTCTTATCCCTTTATTCACTTAAATATAAGTCCTTGACCAACAACGAAAAGGGATACAACTAGGCTTGTATCTTAAGCCCAAATCTTTTAGTTCCAGAATCTAGTGCTTGAAGAAATGAAAAACCGGAGTGACCATTGTGACAGACAATCACTCCCACGTAACTAAGATCATTGAGTTGGAAAGTCCAGACTCATCAAAGGTTAATTTACTATCATAATCAAGTGACTCTGAAGCTCCTGGAATTGGCTTTGTCAAGCGGAATGCCTTGTTCTCCTTTTCTCCTAGCTGAGATTGGCAGAATGACCAGAGCAGCTGCAAAACCGGAAAAGTTAAATGAGAGAACTGTGTTAGGAATATTGATGCCTGCTGCTTTGATGATGAGTAAAGTCCTTAGTCTTTCACGTTCAGAAACAATCACTGTAAGCAACTGGCATATGCACTATTTAATTCTCTTAATAGGATCATCCGAGGAAATTTAATATTAAACACAAACACACCACACAAACACACCACACAAAAACACAGTACACAAGTGGACAACAAATTAACAGTAAATGAAATAACTCAAGTTCCCCAAAGTAGTCGTACCTGTATTGGGTCAGTGCGGAGGAAATGTCTCTGGACCCTATGCCCATCAGGAAGACGGATCCCAACCCTGCAAAGGAGGTTCCTATCGCCCTTGGGTTCTTCTGGGAGAGGTGGGTACATACGCTTCTTACTTGATAATGTTTCCTCAGTATTGCATAATTCTCTATCATCTGAAGTCATTTTACTAGACTCTTTTACACTCTCAATAGGAGCTACAACAGCTTCACTTAATCCCTTGCCTTTGTCAGGTTCATTTGTGGGCGGGGTATCAACTGATATTACATACAAAAAAACACAAACACAGCCATTTCTTCATCCTTAATAGATGCACAAAGTTTGTTACTAAAATATATTTCAGTATATCTCCCTACCCATTCTAGAATTTACAGCAAACTTATCCATACACACACACACACACACAACCAAATGTTGTCAAACAATATTATATTAAAGGAAAAGATCAATCCAATTCAAGCAGTCTTCCACAAAACTAGGTACTCATACACACTTTACATGTGACACAACATTATAATCTTCTAATGATTACCCATTTTGGCATGAATTAGTTTAACATAAGACAAGACACCTTTAATATAAAAGAATATAACATATAATTAAATTACCTTTAGTTTTTTGTCGTGGGGCCAAAGAGTTTCCTCTTTGACGTTTATGAGAAAGCATTTCATGATGAACCCTTGGGCCACCATCCATGAAGGGCACTAAATCCTACAATTTGAAGATATCTTTCCTCTAATCAGCAAAGAGGCATATTAAATATAAATATTTAATTAAATATAAATATAAAGCCTGTTAGACTTGAAAAGGGATTTTCATTTACTGGAATTTTCTAAGGAAATTAACTACACATTTTTAACATACCTCCAGTAAGCTCTCAGGTTGAACCATTCCACACCATGAGCGCATTTTTTGTCCAGTTATTGGATCAATAACAAGAATTACAGGAATTGAATCCAATTTGTAGTAGGTGCAAACTTTCCTACCCTCACTTCCGTCATCATAGACCTATATCAACAAATCTGTCTCAATCAGGTTGAAATATATAGGACCAAATATACAAGTGAAATATCTCCACTCAATTCCATAAAATACGAAGAAGTGCAATAATAGTCCCTCACCTTTCAGCAAATTAACTACATGTTAAATCAACAAAATCAAGAAAAAATAATTACAGATCATTGATTATTGATGTAAAAATAAGATGAAAACAAAACCACAAGCATAATCATAAAGTATTAGACTTACCTGCCAGAAAATAAAGTTTGCACTAATAGTTTGAGAAACAGCTTCATTTGCCCATGTATCTCGATTTAGCTTTACAAACATAGGTATCACCATAAGTAAGATTACACAATTAAGCATAATTAATCAGACAAAGAAAATTCATTTTCAACTGAAAGGTAAGAAATGGAATTATGAATTGCTACCATATGGGAGCTGAATTCCTTTGAAGATTGCAGGTTTACAAGGAGCCATTTCTCCTCATTAGAAGCAGTAGCTTTGGCCTGAAATAACAAATATAGGGTTTTCAGTCAAATCAAATCCCAAAAGAAAAGCGGACAAACTAACAAGAAGATAAAAAGGTAATGCTGAACAAGAGAACAGGGGTAATTCTCAAGCAGGCAGTGAAATTTTTCAATATTTAATGTGCAATTATGTTGGATACGTAATTTGGGTTAAAAAGCTCATTTAAAATCAGAAAGAATGACATGAGATCCTGAAAAAGCAATATCAAAGTTTGTTTCTTTACGTGAATGACATATCATCATAAAGTCAGAAAAGGTTATTAAACATATAAAAAACTATTCCCTAAATTGGATTACAATGAGAAGAAATTGAAACTAATCCTGTGAGAGAGCCATTAACTCCCTGGGCATAAGATTGTTTCAGGTATTGCAAGTTAAAACTATGGTGAGGGAGAGAACAGAGAAAAAGAAAGTAGAAAATTAGAGTTATGAATTCAAAAGAATTTTGGCTACTTTACTTCATAAATGAATCACATCCCCCCACCCAAATTTATGAGCATTGATCCACTAAGAAGTGATTAAAATAAAGAGCAAGTCTTAATTTCTTAGGCCCCAAGGAGGGAAGAGGGGGAGATGAAGAGAATTAATAAGAAAACCAATATACCTTTTCAAATGAGCCATGAAACATTAGATGGAATGGAGGACGGTATAGTGAGGCAAGATTATCACGAGGAGCATCTACTGCAGATGATGCACCTTCATTTGACTCCCAAACCCCAGGGCGTTTCATTTCCTCATCAAAATTGCGGAAGGCAATCATCGAACTTGACTCGGTAGGTGGATGTCCAATCCTTGAAGCCCTAGATAAATAATTATATAAAGGAATTTGACAAATAAATAACTAAATTACAAATAAGAAAAAATTAATAAGGCAACTCTTTCAAACCGATTAAGCCTGTCCCAAAAGGGAAAAAAAATGCATATATATGGTACAACTTCTGCAATATTTAAAAAAGAGCAAACATACCCATAAAGCATTACATCATCATAAAGAGTCTCTCTCACAACCGGCAAAGGAGGGCGCACTTCATCTCCTTCATTTACTCCATTGTTATTATTTCCAGGATCTTTCAATTCACTGGAGCCAGAAATAACAATTCTAAGTCAATTAACACAAAATCAACTCACAATATTACTGTAAGAGTCGAAAATAATAAAGCATATAACATACCCAGAATTTTGATCTGGCCAGGAATTCACATTTTCTACAGGTGGAGAGTTTGAAGCCAATGTGGTTGGCCCACCTTCATTATCCACATAAAACAGCTGAAGAGCCTCTTCAAGTTTCCAACTTGTTGCCTGTTTCTCAAATTACTCCACCATTGAGTTCCAAAAACCAACCATTGCCTCACAAATAAACTTTTATAATAATTCATTCACCAATGCTATATATTTATATAAAAAGAGCTGTTATATATTCTGCCACATACAAAATCTAATACCTTAGCAGTTGGCACAAAACATCTTGATCAAAGACACTTAATCAGAGGAGTATATACAAGATTTTGGCTTTACAACAGCATACCCCAAACAAACATATTATCAAATTATGACAATGTTTGATCTAGACTCAGCCAATGCCATATAACATCCACCAATTCCGATCAACCAAAGTCAGATCAAAATTCACTCAAATCAACCAACCACCTCAAAAATCAAAATCCATCCTAGCTGTATCCTAACAACGTAAAACCTATCCAACAATCAACACCAAACTATCTACTTGCAATGAATGAACAACCGTCGGAATCGACAGCATCCCAAGAAAACACATATCCAGTGAAAGTTTGCATTTTTCTACAAAAAGGCACAACCTTTAATCAGATAAGAAAGACAGATACCTGCAAAAATTGCCTGGCAGTGTCAGCAGTTTGGCCGACGGCGATCTCAAGGAAGGAAGAGACCAGCCGCTGCTGCTCCTCCTCACTGGAAGACATGATTCCCTCCGTCGGTTCACCTCAATCCAAAACCAGAAAAAGCAAACCTGAGTTGGTGAGGATTAGAGAGAGTCCATGGAAGGAGGAGGAAACTGGAGAAAGCCCTCCACTTTCTTCAGCGTCCTACGAATAATATAGATCTCTTCCGGTATTCCTCCAGCGCGAGCTGAATTACGAATTTATCCTTACCTTACTGAAAGATTCGGTCATTCGGATTTTCATACAGAATGATAATCTGGTGCAAAATGGAATTATCTTGCTCCTACTTATCTTATTACGCCTTGATTTTTTTTTTTTTTTAATAATATCTACACATTTGACCTAATAATAAACTTTTGAATTTATAAATAAACTATCAAATTTTAAAAGTATTTATAATCATTTATTATGACTTCGATAGCTCAATACTTCCAAGAAAAATTTATGTTTGGAGAATCTTATGAAAGTTTCTATTGGTTTAGTTGTTACAATTAGTTAATAATTGTAATTATAGTTAATAA